TGGGGGGGGGGGGGTTGTTGGAAGGGGAGAGGGTTAGAGAGAAGGGAGTAGGGGAGGAATGGGGAAAGCTCGGGGGATTGGGATGGGGGAAGGGAGGAAGGATGGATATGGGATCAGGGAAGTATATACCTCAACTAAGGGAGTCATTTTAGGGTTTACAAGAGACTTGATTATAAAGGGGATCCCAGGTCCAAGGAGAGATCCCCAGATTGTTCTCTGGACAGAGGAGAGGGTGCCTGAACCGGCCTTGGCCCATAACCATATTGATGAATATTTTGCATATCACCATAGAACCTTCATCTGGCAATGGATGGAGATGGAGACGGAGACCCACATTGGAACATTGGACTTAACTCCCTAGGTCCAAAAGAGAAGCAGAAGGAAAGAGAATGTGAGCAAAGAAGGCAAGACCAGAGGGAACCTTCACCCGTTGATGGATGGAGATTGAGACAGAGACCCACATTGGAGCACTGGACTGAGCCCCCAAGGTCTAAATGAGGAGCAGAAGGAGGGAGAACATGAACAAGAAAGGCAGGACCGTGAGGAGTGCGTTCACCCACTGATACAAGGGGACTGATCTAATTAGAGTTCACCAAAGCCAGTTGGACGGGAACTAAACGAGCACGTGATCCAACCAGAGTCTCTGAATGTGGTTGGCACGGGGTCTTTCTGAAAAGCCATTGACAATGACACTGGGACTTGTTTCCTCTGCATATACTGGATTTTTGGGATCCAGTCTGTTTGGATCCTCCCCTTCCTGGACCTGGAGGGAGGCGGGAGGAACTTGAACTTCCCACAGGGCAGGAAACCCTGACTGCTCTTAGGGATGGAGAGGGAGGAGGAGGGGGAGTGGGGGGAGTGGGAGGGTGTTGGGAGGAGGGGCGGAAATGGAAACTTTTATAAATTAATAAACTTTTATAAATTAAAAAAGAAAGAAATGGTTCAGTTGGTAAAATATTTCCTTTCTGAGTTTGATCCCAAGAAATCAGATTTAAAAAAAAAGCCAAGCTCTGTGGTACATACTTGCTAACCTGGTGCTGGACTAGGCAGAGACAGGAAGATCCCTGGGACTCACTGGCCAGTAAGAGTGGGCTACTTGATGAAATCCAGGGAAATGCAGACCTCAGATAGCCTGTCCTACACATGTATGTGCACACCCACAACACAAGTACACATCCACACACATACATACACACAAAATGATATGGTATGTAGTATACAATATTTAAGTGAAAAAAACTGGGGATCAATGAGTATCAATATTATAATCCACTTTATATAAAATAAATTTATATGAAGGAAGGCTTAGAGTACATATATCACAATTAATAAGTCATTTAACACCAGGTAATAAGACAATATTCTTTTAAAATATCTATTTTAAAATTTCTCAAATGTGCATTTCAAAAATTATTTACAGGCTTATCTGAAGAGAAAGACAAGAAGTTATTAGAACTTAACCAGGTATTGCCAATACTCACAGGGAATGTCTCGGTAGCCATTTTCTAATGCACGAAAATAGTTCATAAATTCTTGAGTGGGAATTTTAAAGGTTTCCAATAAACCAGTGTCTTGAAATAAAGTATACATAACCTAAATGTAAAATAAAATGAAACTCACTTTAAAAACCTGAATGTCTCTCTGTAGTTTGGTTTGTGATATATTTAGGAATATAACCATGCATACATTTTATTTTTCTTGTGTCATTGGGATTGAACCCTAAGGCTCCCACATTCTAGGCAAGAACTCTATTCACTGAGTGATGAACACAGTCCATCTTGGTTTTCAGAGTAGAGTCTCACTAAGTTGTCTAGGCTGGCTTTGAACTTGAGATTTTCCTGCCTCCGCCTCTCAAGTAACTGCAATCACATACTGTGGCACCAGGCCCATCATAATTTTTTATTTATACTTGTTGGGGCGGGAGGGTGTCAAATATGTGATGTGAAGGTTCCTGTGGAGGACAGAAGAGGTTGTGGGATCCCTTGGAGCTAACTTTACAAGCAGTTATGAGCCATTTGACAAGGGAACTGGGATCCAAACTCAGGTCCTCTGGAAGAGCAGCAAGCATTCTTAATCACTAAGCCATCTCTCCAAATCTCTCAGTGCATATTTCTTTCTTTCTTTTTTTTTTTTTTTTTTTTTTTTTTTTTTTTTTTTTTTTTTTTTTTTGATTTTTGAGACAGGGTTTCTCTGTAGTTTTTGGTGCCTGTCCTGGAACTAGCTCTTGTAGACCAGGCTGGCCTCGAACTCACAGAGATCCGCCTGCCTCTGTCTCCCAAGTGCTGGGATTAAAGGCGTGTGCCACCACCGCCCGGCCTTCAGAGAATATTTCTAAGTTAGTTTATTGTAAACTTCTCAAAAATTATTTTTACCAAACAATAAAAAGGAAGAAAAAGCAAAGAAATTTTATCACATGTATCATGTCCCAAGTAAAATATTTTGCTGACTTCTCTTTAGTTTTTTATTCCAAATTTACTAAAAAACATTGCAAATTCTAATTTTTTCTCAAGTGTTAAAAAAGGCAAAAAAAATCATAATTTTGGCCCTAAAGAATTCAATGGAAAGATCGCATATTTGTCACAAGGCATCCTTTTAAATTTTGGATTTCACAGATAGGATATTAAAGGAATTAATGAAAATCATTACATTAGGAAGGCCAAACAATACAAAGACTGATTGAGTGAACTCTGACTCTTGGTTCATTTATGAGATGAACTACTCAGCCAAGGTCTGAAGAGGGAGGGCAGATAAAAAAATGAAGTTTGCATTTCAGTAGTTAGTTAGAACTAAATCATCTTTCAGGTCCTTTCAAACCTTAAGAGTCAAGAAAAAGTAAATCTTTATTACTATGCTAGCCTAAATTAAATCTATTAGTAGAGTCAAATCAATGATTTTCATACATGAATTTTTATATACTTATAATAATATATAACACAAATGTATATCTGTATACTTATCTGCATGTTTTGAGGGCTACTTGAAAGATAAATTTAATGACAATGCCATTTCTGAATCTGTACTTAAACTAGTATCAAGATTGAGATTTTGCTTTTATAAACGTACGAGAAAAAATTACAATAATAGAGATATGAAGACAAACCTGACTGAGAATTCTTCCTGATTTTTCTCCCATCTTTTCTACAAGCTCAAAAATCTGAAAATTCCAGCTGCTCATCTTCTCTATTAACAAGTCATAATCTTCTACTAACATCGGGTCCAGTAGCACTTCCTGGTCAATCTAAACACAGGAGAAAAAACAACTTTATCTTTTACAGATATTTGGTTTTTAGTGAACGTAAGTCATTTATTTTATTCAAACCAATATATCTAAAATATTATCATTTTAATATATTAGTCAATATAAAAGCTTTTTGTTTGTTGTTTGTTTGTTTGCTTTTCGAGACAGGGTTCTCTGTAGCTTTAGAACCCGTCCTGGAACTAGCTCTTGTAGACCAGGCTGGCCTCGCACTTTTTAAAGGACTATTATTGTATCTTATGTATGTGAGCACACATATTTCTAACATCTAAGAGAGAATGCTTAGAACTGAATATTAACAGTTAGCCTTCTTTTCTGTAGTGTTTTTTTTCAAATATTCTTTTATCTTGCCTTCTATTTTATCTATTTGTTAAAAGCCATCTCGAGAAAACTTTAAGCACATCTTCTTAGCAACAGAAGGCTGATGATACTTTAGTTATATAAGTAAGCATTTTATTTCCAAATGACTATGTAAATCTAAAATCCATTATTTTCATTTTAGAAATTATATGCAGCAAAGTATAATGGAAAAAAAAAACCTTGTCTCACTACAGTTATTTTTACTAGGATAGTATCCCAAGTACATGAACGGGATCTTGTCCCACAAACTCACACACTGAACTTAGGAAAACGGTACCACTAGAAGTAACTGTTCTATTTTGTATATTTTGTGTGTGTGCATTCACACGTGCAGTACTTTTGTGTATGAAAAAGTCAGAGATTAATTTTTCTCTCCTTCCATTATGTGGATCCAGGGATCAAACTCAGGTCATCAGGCTTGTCAGCAAGCACCTGTGCCAACTGAGCCAAATTATAAGCCCATGAAAATAATTATTCTTTGTTTTTTAATGACTACACATATGGTCTCTGCATTTAAACACAATTTAGCAATAACAGAATGAAATATATCTACTAAAAAACTAAACATTCACACAAAAGTTAATCTTCGTTGTTCCCAGATGATAGACTATTTCAGTAATTGTGACTTCTCAGTGAAAAATTAAAATTCCATTACATTGCTAATTATGTTCTGTGTAAAAATAATGAAGCCAGTACTAACTCATATCATATTTCACCTTAACATAATGATACTGAAAGCTTATTCTTTACATTTGGTTGCTGTGCCTCTTCCACGGGGTGACTATCACCTTCCAACAATAATTCCCTGCGGTCTTTCTTCACTGTTTCTTCTTGAGTTTCCACAATGTTGAATGGTTCTTTTGAGAAAACAGTGTTATCTTCTTCACCTTTCAAAAAGCATACATAGCAATAAATAGAAACAAAAAGTGTCTTAAATATGGAGGTTTATTACAAAAACTGGTCACTTATTTAAAACTATTCTGACAGAGTGAAGCACAATGTCACTCAGTTTAAAACATTTATTCACACCATCAAGTTCTAGACTGCTGACTCTGTGTAGGGTCTTATGCTCAGACAGCACAAGCACTCCACATCTGGGACTCAGTTCACATATCTATTCATGAATGACAGAAAGGGCCAGATAGCTTTATAAAAGCGAGCAATAGAAAAGGCCAGTCCCTATCAACAGACACCTCTTGACAATTTGGTATAAACAATCCTCATATGAGACTCAGATACAAAAATTCAAAATTCTTAACTATATGTCAATGCAATTAAGCAACATGTAAAACTTCAAGTTATTTCTCTTCTTTTTTGATTAATAATATTCTTTTTCTCAAGTTCCATGGAAAAACAGAGTAACTCCAGTAGATAACCAGTATTTATAATACTGTAAACAGGTAGTTTTCCTATGATGGACTCATACACTAGTAAGTAACAAGAATAAATGTAATTATATACAATGCGAGTGAATTCTTAAACATAAAATGATCAATGAAGAAAGGCAGGGGGGAAATCCATACTCTGTTATTCTATCCTTATGAGATGTCCTTTTTAAAAGTCTCAAAACTCGTATTTGGGTCAGAGAGGTGGCAATGCCAGTCAAGGTGACTGCGACACAGCCTGGCAACCTGAGTTCAATCCTGGAACCCAGATGAAGGTGGAAAGAGAGAACTGACTCCACAAAGCAGTCTGATCCCCACATGCACACCATGATATGAAAGTCTCCCTACCCCCAACCTGTCATTATTCACAAACACACAATAAATTTTTTTTAAAAAATTAATGATATGCATGAGTGGTACACATGAGCACTGAAAGACAGGGAAATTGTTACCTTAGGGGTACAGCTTCAAGGGTGCATAAAGGGAAATTTTAAGATAAACATTTAGTTTCTAAATCTGGGTACAGATTACACAATGTAAAAAATTCATCGAGCTTTAAACTCACGATTTTTGTGCTCTTCAATACATAGGACTGGAAATCTTTTGTTCTGTTTATTTACTAAGATAGCTTCTCACTAAACTGCCCAGTCTCACCTCAATTAGCAATCCCTCACCTCATCCACACTATAGGCCTGGTTGTTTTAAAAGCGAAACTAGATTTTCTGTTTGTTTGGGCTTGGGTTTGCCTGTTTGTGTGTGTTGGGTGTGTATGTCTCACTTTGTAGCACCAGCTGGCCTAGAATTGTTAATATGTATCTCTAGCTGGGCCTTGAACTCACAGCAAGCCTCATGTTTCACTCTCCCAAGTGCTATCATAGGCACTCTTCTGAGTTCTGAAGTGCCCTCACTGAGCCCAGCAGCGTCCTATGCCTGTACCAGCAAACAGAAAGGCTGGTCACTAAGCTGAGGCCAACATGGGCAATTTAGAGAGATACTATATCTCATAGAGAGGAAAAAAGTTTTAAAAATACTCATGAAGTTAAACTTTAGAAGGAGGTTTAAAGCCTGTTGTTTATACTTAATGTCAAGTTCCCTACAAAATGTTGATAGTAACTAACCCAACATGTCAGATGTCAAACATAGTAAGCGATTTAAAAATTAGTGAATTCTGTGCCTAACATACTGAATAGCAACCTTATTAGTTTAGGATCAGAAAATACTATTGTTTGTAAAATACTACTTTTCCAAATAAAACATTCATTTTAAAAGCATAACTGCCTATTTATTACAAGCTTAGTTTTAACCACAAAAAGTTTTTAATTTTTCTTTTTCTCTATCTCTTGAGTACATCATATGATTCTTTTGTTCCTCTGTATTTCAATACTTTGGTGTATATGACTAACCTATGGCTGTCCCATGATTCTTTCATTTTTGAAATACCAGTTGACCATGGGGGGACATTTTTACATTGCTAAATTTAGTTTGATAGAATTTTGTTAAGAATTTTTATGCCTATGTACGTAAGAGAAAACACTTCATTGCCTATTGTAATGATTCCGTGTGGATGTGATGTTCAAGAAATATAAGTCTAAGAGTAAGCTGGGAGGTTTTACCTCTGCTTTTGGAAGACTGTTTGAAGGATTAGTCACAGTTCACTTTTGCTTCTAAACAACCTTATAAAATGCAAATTAAATAAAAAAAATAATTTAAAAACTGTCAAGTCATATACTTTAAAAGTAAATTTTAAGCCAAGCGGTGGTGGTGCATGCCTTTAATCACAATACTCTAGAGGCAGAGGCAGGTGGATCTCTGTGAGTTCGAGGCCAGCCTGGTCTACAGAGCGAGTACCAGGACAGGCTCCAAAGCTACAGCAACGTCCTGTCTTGAAAAAACAAAACACACACACAAAAACAAAACAAACAAAAAATAAACTTTATAGTCCAGAAGAAATTGATAAGAGCCTATTTCTTTGTCATCCCTTTTGCCTTCTAGAGTTCATACCTTCTATGATAATTTTTTTTAAAAAGTTATGGAATAGATAAAATTTCATCAACTGCATTCTTGTCTGAAGTTATGTAATCCCTTTCAAATGTCAACTCTGTAGTGCAAGTTTCAACATGACTAATTTCACTAGTATCAATACTAGCCATAAACAAAGACTATATTCATCTATACAACACATTTCTTGCTTTTCAAATTGTGCCCCACTATCTGTCACTGTCATTTTAGGAGTTCCTGAAGAATAAGTAAAAATGCTGTACTCTTCTCCACTGTGCAGATGGAGAAATGTGACCTGGGATGTGCTCAGTGTCGAGTATTCACTCAGCACAACGCAACTCTCTGAGTTTCATCCCCAGCACCATGAAAAACAAAAATCCAGAAACGTAAAATTAGGTACGTGAAACTTAAAAACCACTGTATCCTTGAACTTAAATACATATGATTGATGCAATCTCACCTGATTTTCCACTGTGATGATCTGTACCTTCGGGTTCACATGTTGAAACATATTTGAATATTTGATGTCCACAGCTTATAGAATAAAATAGATAAATGTATACAATAAATAAAGTTTTTTTACCTGAATATAATTAGGGGATCTGCCTAATTTTTAAATAAGATTCCCAACTGTAACATATCCTAATATACTAATCTGTGAATAAACCTAAATGATTTTATTCTAGGAAGCTCCTTTGTGTTTTTAAAGGAAATAAGTTTTTGAAAATCAACATTAGGGTCTAAGAAAAACCTGCATTTCTATTGGAGACAAAAAAGAATACTAAATCAATAAAGGACTGCAAAATAAGCACTAAGTAATGAATATCAAATAATTCTGTTTACTAAAATGTTATACGGAATAGAATATAACTGGATTTCACCATAGAAGGAGATTATTTATCTGGAAACTAATAGCACTGAACTGAGAAAAACGTTTAATCATAATAAAAAATTACTAGGTTAAATATAGGGGATACAGTCTTAATCTAGCCTTCATTTATAATACAGAATCAGAAAACAGCAAATACCTTTCAAGAGAACCTATACACTGAAACAGAAACAAGAAGGCTAGGGGACTTACCTGCTACACAGATTGCTATCAGGGTTTCTAAGGCACTGGTAGATATCTGCTGCATTGGGTACACTGCTCAGTGATCTCTGCAAAATAATACTTGGCTTTGAAAGGAAATCAGCAGTATCAGGAAAGTCTATGGGTGATCGATTAGTTAGAGTGCCTGCAGACACTGGAACATGGCTTGGAGAATTCACAAGACTCAGGCAGGGCAAAGCACCTAAAAATTAAGAGAGAGGATATATAAATAATTATGTATTTACTATGTGTGTTTTGAGTTTTCATAAATAGCATTTGCCTGCTAAAAGAAAAAAATTTCAATTAAATAATACATTTCTATCTATGCTGGGCTTTGAGGCAATCTAAGAATTTAAGAAGTAGGTGTTGTATTTGTCATTATTAATTACTACAAAGCAATAAGTAGTTATCAGCCTCTGGCATAAGAACACATAGTAGATAAATATTGAGAATTCCTTTAAATATGTGGGCTGTGCAGCATAAATTTTTCAAGTACAAATAGGTCTTAATTTTTACGTTTTGTGAAAGACCCATGATTTCAAGAAAAAAAAAAGTTGATGGTCCACATGACAAAGTATTAGCTATTTTTCCTAATTTCTAACATTTAATATTGAACAACTAAAGTTCTTAACAACATTAAGCAAGTTGATGAAATTATACCAGCACAATGACAGGCCCCTTTAAAAGATTATAAACTAGGAACTCCAGCTCATCCAGAAAACACATGTGTTGTGTTGAGTTTCACAATGGAGAAAAACGTTAACATCTCTGCAACTCAACCAGCCTAGAACACAGTAAAGATAATAACACAAATAAAATGAAGAGGAAAAATCCTTCAGGACCAATTAGCATGTCTCTCAAATTATTGGCAGAATCTTTGGTGAACTCATGGAGTTGAAGTGATGAAGGTTTACCTGAGGAGAGGTACACAGAGCTAATACTTTGGTGGGAATTAAAGATCCAATGAAACACAGGTATATGGTGACTATCTATCACACGTCTTTAAGTATTCATGTACTCACTGACATTAGGTTGTTTGCGTAGCTTGGTTCTTGTTAATAATGCGGCAATGGACATGGAAGCACAGGCACAACCACAGCAGACCCATTTCCTTTTGGGTTATCTTTAGAAGAACTCCTGCTCACATATTTCTAGCTATAAATTTTGAGGTTTTCAGACTGCTATGGCAATTTTCATCCCTACTATGTAACTATGGGTTCCTTTTCTCCACACCTTCTCCAACTGTGGTAGCATATCATAAAAGTTCTTAAACACAACTTGAGATAGTTTTTGAGAAGGCAGGGCTCTAAATACATTCTTTTGCATATACATAGCCACTTCAAGCAGCATCAGAAATGAAAATACTTCATTCTACTCTTAAGTCATCTTGGCATCTCTTTTGAAAATAATCTGACTATAAATGTAAAGGTTTATTTCTAAATTCTGTTTCCCAAAACTGGACTTTATTTATGTTAATAACATACTCTCTTAATTACCACTACTTTGTAATAAGTTTTAATGACTGAAATTGTATGTTCTCCTTTTTTTTCCGTGAACAAAACTCCATTCACCTCCCCCCTTTTTAAATGAAATCTTTCCTGTTTAGGTCTTTAACCTATTTTGAAACTCATTTTTCACCATTCCTTCTATTTTTCTGAATTCTTTGGATTGTTCAGCTTTTAAAATCATACCTCTCTACCAGCAACGCTAGTTTTTCTCTATTATATGGATCTGTGAAGTGTTAGTCTGTGTGCAGTCATAACTCTTTTCCTTGTTTCAGTCACGTCTAGAACTCTACATGTTTACATCTATTTACCCACTCTGTACCCTTTTCTGCTATTATTATACATACATTATAAAATGCTATGAGAAATTTACTGTTACTTATGAATGATTTCCTTATACTTGCCTACTTGGGCTAAAGGGTGCTTTTCATTTATTTATGCAGTTTCATATTGGGATGTAAATTATTTTCATCCTATCTAAGAAAATTTCTTTGCAGAATTTCAGTGAGGTTTGCAAGCAACAAATTCATTCAGCCTTGGTATACAGGGAGAAGTGCTTCCTCGCTTCTTTCCTGAACAGATAAAACGAGTTTCTCTAGCTGGACTGACAGCCTACATTGTTTTTAAAAAAGATTATTTCTTACCAGCTCTTCTCAGACCCACATGGTGAGTCAGTGACACAGACGAGGACCTTGGCTTTGGAACTGTCAGGAGACTTGAACTAAAAGGCCCATTCAGGTGGCACCCATGACTAATAAAAAGAAAAGATAAGAATTTTTAGATCATAAAAATTCCTTTTTTTCTTTTTTCTCTTGCTAAACCTATTAGCCATTTTGTACTTATACATTCAGACAAAAGACTTCTAAAGCTCTTTCTATTAAAAGGGCAAAATAATAAATGCTTATGACTTTTCATTTTATAATGTCTCTAATGCAACTCCTAAGTACTGCCACAGTAGCAAAGAAACACCCACCAACAGTATAAACTGGCATGGGTAAGTTTCCTCAAAACAGATTATGGAACAGATTAAGCCCAACAGGTGTAGTTTACTGATCATTCCTAAAGTAAGTTACCACCTGCAAGTTTTCTTGAAACAGACTCTGGTATCATCCAATTTGGTAAGTGTTGGGCAGGTCAGGTAAGGCCAGGCATTATGGTTTTTAACAAGGTTTTAGATGATGCAGGCTTGCTGAGCCAGGGCCCACACTGAGAACCACTGGCCTAAAGTTAAGCTTTCCCTTACTTTCTGTTCCCATATCTCACAGACACTACCATTATCCCACTCATTTTATAGACCTGAAATATTTACTATAGATTCTAGGGTTTTCACTAAGAAATTAAATATGGATAATAAACTATTCATAGTTTCTCACAGTACACTAAGATAATAAATAAAACCCAATATATAGTATCTTTTTCAAAGTATCTGAAATATATAAATGCTGCACCTTCCTTCTTTATATATTTAATGGCCTACTTTTTTATATTGGCTGACTCCAGATGTGACCTCAATGACAAGAAATGCCACTCCTGTTAGACATTTATTTAGCAGCTATTTTTCTTCATAGTTCTAAGTATGCCTAACTCTTCACAGTAATTAAACAGGCCTCAGTACTACATTCTCCGTCTACTTTCTCTCCATTTTAGTGTTGCAGGCTCAGCTCTCAGTAAGCCCCTCACTAGGCTCCTTCCATCCTTCCAGCTCTTTCAAACTCCATTTACTCAACAAAGAGCTAATTTTGAACTCAGAGGTATTTATTCATGTTTCTATCACAAAAGGTCCCATAATGTTCATAATTTTAATACTTAAAAGATATTTTGAATGTTTATGTAGTATGAGGGCATTTGTATATGTGTGTTCATAAGTATATAAGCACATGTGTGTGTTCACAGGCAGATACACATGCATGTGTAAAAGCATGCATGAGAAGGCTTGAGCCTGATATAAGGAATCATCATTGATTGTTCTCAACCTCACTCAGTCTTACAATTACCCTCAGAGCTTGCTGATAGGGCTAGTCTAGCTAACCAGCATGATCCAGGAACACTTTGTCCTTCTGAGTCAGCCAATCCAGCATTTATATAGGTGCTAGATATTCAAATTCAGGCCCTTACGCTTGTACACCAAGCAGTTTATTCAATGAGCCATTCCCCAGACCCTAGAATTTCTCTCACTGATTTGTGAGTTCCTTTTGGGCCTGTGTCTTTCTCAGATCCAGTACAATAATTGATAAAAATGTTCAAATGACTTTGGAGGGCAAATAAGTAATAAACTCTTTAGGTTATTAGCAAAATAACTTATCTTGTCTACTCTGAAATTTTGAGTGAGCATTTTTCTTCACAGAATCAACATCATAATCTAACATGGATGTCATACTCCTAAAGGGAAATTGTTAAGCAGTCATCTGTCTTTAAAGATCAGTGTTAGTGTAACAAACTTCAATGTAATTGAAAGACTTCAGTACTAATGGGTGGGAATGGCTAGAAAGCAAAAAGTTTCATAAAACAGGAAATAGGTGTTAAGGAAATTCACAAGCTAAACCAATTGCTTTTCTTTAATGAACAAAACTGCTTTTCTCAGATGACAGCATTTTCTGATAATTGAGCTATCTGGAAATTAAATGGTTATTAGAAACCTTCAGTAAGTCTAAAAAAGTTGTATGCTTATTGTTTTTATGTAGAGAGCTTATATTATTTTCAATGCTTTTTTTTTTTTTTAGTCAGCAACATTTTTGTTGTTTCTGTTCTGTTTTTCAGTCCAACTTAACCCAGTGCCCCTTGTTACTCTTGTTCTTTAAAAGACTGCTCCACGGAGATCCATCTTTTCCAAGTAAGGCTGCAGATCTGTCATAAGGTAACAATAGACTTTCAACTTCCAGACTACAAGCTCAAGAATCATTCTATAGGTATCAGTAAGGGATCCCAAGACTTAATGATTAGAAAGTCATATAATCAAAACTTTGCTTAAGGAAGATGAAACAATTGATGAAGGACATAAAAAATTGTCTATGAGAGGCTAATTCAATAGCCCAAGAGAGTTGTAGCAAAACTATGAAACTGCATAGACAAATGATAAAGGAGAAGATGAAATAGAGGGAAACATTACAACGATAGATTTATCTCCTATCTGTGGAATGAGGTAGAGGGTACAAAGGTAACACCAAGTATTCTAGGTAAATTAATTTTGTAAACAATCACTAAGCCAGGAGAAGAAAGAATTATGCCAAAAAATAAAGGCCAAACAATGATAACAGATTTTTTAAAGTGACAGCTGAGGGATGAGAGGTCTGGCTTCAGTTATATCCAGAGAGGCTTACAACTATAATCATGTAAATTCATAGTCAGGGAAGCTATAATCACACATAAAGTTGAATTCAAATCCAGACCCAAAACCCCAGGATGAAAGAGAACTATAACAATATTAGAGTGAACACAGAGCTATTGTTGGGGACTGCAGACCACCAGACTCTGAATTTCTTATAAACAACTTGTTTTTCTCTGCTCTGAGCAGCCTGCAGCTACTCTAAGCACGAGACCCTGATGGCAGGGGAGTGGGTTCTGATGAGTCTGCAGGTGAACGATCTCAAGAGCTGCCCCTGAGCACAATAAAGGGGTGTCCTTAGCATTCTTGTCTCAAGGATGTCACTATGGTCCCATCTGTCTGACTCTGTCTGTTCGTGTGTCTTAAGATTTTCAACCTAGTTTCTGTAGCGCATAGCATGGAGAGCACAGAACAGAATTGGTGTAGTTTTACAAGTAGAGGCCCTCAGTGAGATCTCCCTCAGGAATGGAGAGGGTGGATTAAAGATGGGTATGTATGTTATGTGTGTTTGTGGAAGTCTTTAAAGAGACAGAGTATGGACAGTCAGATTATAAGCCACGAAAGGATGGAATGTGCACAGAGAATTTAGATTATATATATTATTGTGGTTAATTTTTTGAATGGAGAAATTTGATTCTGGGAACTGCTAAGAAAGGTATCTTGACTTTAAAATATGGGTCAAAGGTTTTGTTGCTTTGGAAAAGAGGTTCTGTTTTTGTTTCCACAAAAGATGAGAATCTGTGGATTCATTCCAGGCTAGCGTTGTTTGATGCACCAACCCCCCCTGAAATGTCGCTGTGAGCACCCCCAAAGATACAGCACCCCCAATCAGCAGGAAGTATTTTAGAGAACTATGCCCAAATTTCCTAAATGATTGTTTAAGTGGGGCTTGGGAGCCTGTCCGCCATTGTGAGCCTGACAAGTGGCATGCAGGCATGCAGGCCCGAGCTCGGGTCCCATCAGCCATTCCTGAGCACAAGCTTACTTCCTGGAGTCCCTGCAAGTGGAGAGGTAGTGGCTTTGTGAGAGAGGCAACCGACTGCTGTGAGCGCTTGCAGAGAGGCCCAGAGGCGGTGCCAGGAGCCATGGCTGTTCCTGGCTCTGCATGCCAAAGAGTTTGCAGCAAGCAGCAGGCTTTTCTGTAGGAGGCAGAGGCAGAAGACCAGCTTTATAACTGCCACTAATCAACTGATGCTGAGCTTCCTGGGGCGAGACTTTGGGATCACCTCGGGTGGCCGCTATTGTCACCTCTGCAGCCTCCTCCTTCATGGCTGGAATTGCAATCAGACAGATGGCTGCTGTGACTATCTGGAAGCTGGTACCAGCACTGAATACATAGAATGAGCATGTTTGCTAGGGCATTTCCCAACTTATTGCTATCATATTTGTGCCATGCCCATGCCAATCCAAAACCCTGGTTTAATTATATAAAAAAAAGGGGGATATGTTCAGTACTGCGGACCACCAGACTCAGAATTTCTTGTAAACAACTTGTTTTCCTCTGCTCTGAGCAGCCTTCAGCTGCTCTAAGCAGGAGACTCTGATGGCAGGGGAGTGGGTTCTGATGAGTCTGCAGGTGAACGATCCCAAGAGCTGGGGTGTGGCCAGCTGCCTACATAAGCTGCCCCTGAGCACAATAAAGTGGGAATTCTTGGCATTCTTGTCTCAAGGATGCCGCATGGCCCTGTCTCCCTGTCTCTATCTGTGTTTGTGTTTTTAAATTTTCAGCCTAGCTCCTGTAGCGTAGAGAGCACAGAACGGAACTGGTGTACGTTTTACAAGCTATTACTAAAACCCTAAAGATTTCTAGATAAAAGTATCATTGGTATTCATATGACTTCGTTTAAATAAAATTCTCTAATATTTAATTAAAATTCAATTAGTCATATTAGACACAGCCCAAATGATCAATATTCACATGTAGCTAAAGGTCACAATTTAGACAGTACAGATATAAAATATTTGTTCTGCATAAATTTATTTTGTATAGCATGGATGGGGTGGTTGCTGTTTATATATTCCTGACTGGCTTAGTTAAGGTTTCCTTGTTGTGATTAAACACCACAACCAAATTGACTTGGGGAGGAGTGAGCTGGGCCCTGCCACACTGATCACTAATCAAAAAATGCCCAATTGGTCTGCCTAAAATGCCTAATGGAAGCATTTTCTCAGCTGATGTTCCTCTTCCCAGATAACCCTGGCTGTGTCAAGCTTATATAATACTAGCCAACACACTATTTCATCCCAACTATGTGTAAAGTACATTTGGAAATTATTACTGAGAAATTCCGGCTTCTGCATACAAGAAAAATAATATTTAACCTTTAAGGTGTGCATCTCTTTAAAGGAGACACACACGGCACCAATTACTTTTCTGGTCAAGTTTCTAAATCTCTGGTGAAAAATATGAGTTTGTTTCAATAAGTTTACTGAAACCAGAGAAACTATCTACATCGTGAACACTTCTTAACTGAGATTTCTCTAAACAATATTTCTAGTTTAAAAATGAATTTAATATGTCACACATTTTAACTGAAAATATATTGATATAATGCAAATGTGAGAAGTAGAACAAAACCTACTATTTCTGTTCTTTTTTAAAAACATTTTCAAAATTTTATTTATTTATATTTTATGGATGAATGCCATGCATGCATGCCTGCATGCCTGCATGCCAGAAGAGGACATCAGATCCCATTAGAAATGGCTGTAAGCTACTATGTGGGTGCTGGGAATTGAACTCAGGTCCTCTGGAAGACCAGCCTCTGAACCTCTGAACCCCTGAACCTCTAAACCATCTCTCCAGCCCCCTTGTTCTTGCTTTTTAAACTCAAAATATTTCCAAGATTGTGATTCCTTCCTATGGCAAAGAAACTTAATCTTCAGTTCACTTCCTATTTCCTATTTCTATTTCCCCACATCATACTTTAATTTAAAACAAAACAAAAAGCACAAAAAAAATCATGTTTAAGTTCAGGACAAAAGTTGTACTGTTTCTCATTCTTCTGTACTATAAATTATTCATAATTCAATCTACTGTTCTAAATATTAAAGTTCGATGAGAAAGGAATTAGTTTGATCAAATATTATAAAATTCAAACTAATGAATCACAAAAGAATGTGAATTATGATTATGAGTGTATCTCCCATATGAATCTTAATATCGATTTTAACATATGAACAGCTATGCTCTAATCCTGCCATCTACTGTTTCAAATGTTTAACTGTACACAGCTCAAAAAAAGTTTAGCTTGACACCTGCTCAGTAAGATAGTAGCTTAACATGGAATCTCCATTCGTTACAATTCTACTAACCCAGGTAACTGACTGAAAAGTGTCTACCTACACAAGAGATTCCCATCTTTCATGGCTTTCAAAGGATAAAGTATTGAATTCTTTGTTACCAGGTAAAATGGTATTCAATAATACTCATAAAATTTCAGTTCCTGTATTTTCCAAGCCACCTTTTAACTGTGATTTCTGATTTAGCAGTGTTTCATTTCAAGCCAGTTCTTAGGAGATTATATAATATGAAGTCTCAGCTTAAGGTAGAACAGGTGTAGATCATTCTTGCTGCCTTACATGAGCAACTGTAATAAGTCTGAGGAATATTCTTCTTTTCCAAGTCAGGAACTGTGGATTCACCTACCCTGGCACCCTACACAATGGATTGGTGACTGCCTCCAATATTTGAAAGCCGCCCCAGCGTATCAGTAGAAACCTTGCCTAGCATATGGCAGACCTTTAGGTCTGAGCCTCAGCAAAAGAGACTGGAAGGCAGGAACACAACATGTTAAATTGATTTTAATATCCCTAAGCAAATGTTTCTCAACCTGTGTGTCGCAACCCCTCTGTGAATTAGAATGACCTTTTACAGGGGTCGTCTAAGACCATCAGAAAACACAGATATTTAGTTATGATTTATAACAGTAGAAAAATTACAGTTATGAAGTAGCAATGAAAATAATTTTACAACTGGAGGTGCCACAATATGAGAAACTATTAAAAGTTTCAGATTAGGAAGGCTGAGAACACCTGCCTAAACACAGACATGCTTTTTAAGATTCCAGCATTTGCTGTACCCAGCTGACCTAAGTCTTGAGAGACTGTTGCCTTCTTTTTAAGAATAAGTTTCTTGATTATAACTATTACTGCTAAGGTGGGTTACACAGGCTTAAAAGAAAACAAGGGGTAACCCAAAACAACCTATTCCTACCATGCATCTGATGTCATGCCCCACATTTGAAAACCCCATATAAAAACAGAAAAAGGAGTAGGCCTATTCCCCCAAAATATTCCAACCATCCCTGGAATTCCCTGATTTTTCCTCTCTTTCGAACAATACCTTAAGCAATACTTCCCTCCAATAAAGTATGTCTATCAAGCTAACCAAAATTCCACAGTGCTACTCTCTAGTAACATGCATGAATTCATCCCTTGAGTTGTATTTCTCTGTCTTATAATTAACTTTGAATCTTTGCTTTATCTCATCTTTCCATTTCTTCTTTGACAGAGACAAGGACTGAAACACCAGCTCGAAGTTTCAGTACAGTTTCTACCTTTAGGTCTTCTCAGGTGTCACTATCTTTAAGAATTTCTACCTATGTTGTCCTAAAAATACTGCAACAACTCTTCCTTGATTTTAAAACTATTTCAAGTTTTATTTGCCAAAACAAAATGGATGCTTTTGGTTTAAAAGGCTCTCAGAATTTTACCTTGAAGCACCTAGTTCTTGGTGAGGCCTTTTGCCACTGCTGCGGTCCCACTTTGAACAGTGCTCATTACCCAGCAATGCTGATGCTCCAGAGCTCCTCCTGAGCTGTGCAGTTGGGAAACTGGTTCTACTACTCAGTCCCTGTCAAACAATTTCAAACAGCTAAATTAGCATCCTTTAATATGCTATGTATAAGGACACATGAAAATATCAATATAATATGTACAGGTAAAACAAAATTTCACTCTAAGAATCTTCCAACATTTCACTTCCACTTTCAGCTTCCACTTTCCATATTGTTGCTCTATTTATTTTTTCCTTATTAAAAAAAGCTCCTGAACTCTTATGACTACACCTTTAAACATTTTACTCATCATTTCAAGAGAAAGAAAAACTTGGAGCTTAAAAATGGGTATGGAAGACTAACACTAAAAATCAACTTTAGAGGACAAAGTTAGGGCCCAGGATGACCATTATTTTTTATATTTTCAGAAAAGGTATCCAAAGTACATGATACCTAATGTGGAAAACCTACAGGGTTCTTGGTTACTTTTTAAATTATTAATGGTTAAATTAATATAATCTTTAAAATGTTTTTTAAATGTACAAGAAAACTTTTCTACACACTAAATATAGCAGCATAATAATGACTTCAATTGGGGCTTTTATGAGTTGTATATTTTCTGTTTGTAGCTTAGTCCCCTGGCTTCCACCTCCAAGAGCTGCAGTTACAGGAGAGTACCACTATATCCTACGACTTTAAAGAATATCTGACTTTAAAAAAAATTGCTATCCTAGATCAATAAATATCATTGGGAAATAAAAAAGGAAATATACTGAGTGAAAATTCAAGAATATTTTAGAATCATTTCATTAGTTAATGACTATCATTACTTTTGCGTGCTTGTGTTTATCTGGAATACTAAAAATGTCACATGAGCCAATACCATTATTAAGTAAACACTAATGAATACTGGTCACTATTTGTTAAACTTTTTAAAAGTAAAATCATCAATTCTCTATGACCCAGATAATCAATAGTTTTCAAGTCCCTATCTTGCTTAATTTTTCAATACTTCTCAACCCTAATGCTAAAAACTGAGAAAATGAAATTATCAAAAGACCTTAAAAAATTGTATTTTCCTTATCTAGGTTTTGTATAACTAGTGCAATTTGACAGAATTAACTTATTGGAATTTTATCTCTTCTTGGTTAGCTCTAAGCTGTATAAGTAACTGGAATACCATAATCCTTAAAATATTTCTAGTTTTAAATCTTTATTATTTTAGCTCTCAGTAAAGACGTCACAATACAGTGACAGATAATAGCATTATGAACAAACATAATATATATCAAGTTAATATATTCTGTATGTACCAGCATCTAACATAAATCTTATTTTTTAAGTAAAACAAAAAAGTAATTCCATATCTAATTATGGAAAAACCAGCTATCAGTGAGTAAAGGGAGGCAAGGTTTTAAATCTGTTAAAATCATTAAGTAATAATAATATATTATTATAATGGTCATTTGTTCTTGGTTCAAGTGTAATTCCTGGACTCTATAAAAGAAAAGAAATTAATGACATGATTTGCTAGTCACATAAGCTTAGAGCTAAGTTCCCTGATGTTTTCTACTTACGAAAATGATATCAAATAGTTCTTAGCATATAAATTGTAACTTCTAAGTACAGCAGTGCTATTTAAAATAAAGACTACTAAAGGCATAACATTTGCCTAGCATATAGAAGACCCTCAGCACTGGTAAGAAATTAATAAAAAAATGAGCACAGAATTACTTTATTTTGTAAATCTATGTAAAGTCACAGACAGCGTGACAGAATATAAAAGAAGCCGATCCTTGGAAAGGAAATTGTGTATTATAAAACAATTAGAGGAATGTTTTAATGAAAACAAATCATTAAATGAGATAAATAGGCTGCATGATTACTGTATTTTAACCTTGTGGAATTTTCGATCTCCTTTCTCGACTGGATCTTCTACTTCAGAGCAGGGATAGAATCCTGGAAATGGTGTGAGAGGATTAATCTTTGGCCTACAGGAGCCTGAGAAAGCACCCATCAAGCTACTGATACTCCGCAGAGAAGAAATGACTTGTGGGGGAAGGCTTGGGTCAATCAGAAGATCTGACACCATATTGCGAGCTTCATTTAGCACTGAAAGATCAACTCCATTTCCACTTCCAGAATTCTAGAAAACAAAAAGGAAAATTCTGTATTTGATACACATAAAGTTTAACATTAAAAAAAGCACTCTGATTTAAACTAAGGTGTGTCTTATAATACTTAAATAATATAATCCTATTAGTTACAAAATTTTAATCACATGGACTTAGCATGAATAATATAACAAAATAATAAAATTCTAATTGTGGTATATGTGGTGTAACAGATATTGTAAGCATTAGCCTTTTCTTTTTTGGTATTTTATTTATAATCTGGTTTTATTTTCTTTAGCCTATTTCATGTTAATGACATTTATTACTTTATAACCAGCACACAACTAAATATGTGTTTATTTTGAAGTTTGCAACCCTGCTACTTCAATAATTTATAGATGACTTCCTTTCCTTCATGGCAAAACTTATAAGCATAGAAAGCTATAACCCTGGAAGCAAGCTGAGTAACTAGGAAGAGGGCCTAAAAGGGATAGGATATGTTAATTCTTCAGTGTTAGAAAATATATCAGATTGTACATTTATGAGTTATGACTAGACTTTGATAAGGGTTATTAGAAAGGAAGAAGAAAAAGCAAAAAGGTAGAGATGCCTAACATCCTATACCTGCCTGTCAGACAAGCCCATGGTTCTGACCATTACTGCTTATTTATCTTGAGATTTCATCAGTAGTTTAGAATCTCTTTAACGGGACACTGAGGATCTTTGTGAGCATCAGTGATGATAAAGTCCATTACATAACTAGTCCTGGAGGTACCCTACTTCAGGTCATGTGTGCCTCCTCCTTAGCTTTATGATTACTGTGGTAGCATATTTTTGCTTACCAAGATCCAGAGGGCATTTTCATCCTAGGGGCTATTGTGGCTATTGTACACACTGCTTGAAAGTAAAAATCAGGGGGCTGAAGTGATGATTCAGCAGTTAAAAGCACTTGCTGCTCTTCCAGAGGACCTAGCTTCAGTCCCTAGTACCCACATGGTGGCTTACAACCATCCGTAACTTACACCCTCTTCTTGCCTTTGGGAGCACTGCATGTACAGACAAATCTACAGCTACAAAGCAAAATAATAATAATAAACTAGAAACAGTTAAATATAAAATAAAAATCAGTGTTGAGACAACAAGTAAAATAAAGCTAAGAGAATGACAAAAATGCTGTAACATAAATACCTAAGGTTTCTCTATTATTATGAAAAACCTCAAAATGTTATATGAAATAATCAGTTTCATAGAATAGATTGTATATGTGCACATTTATAATTTAAAAAGACCTGCCAAATTAAAAATTAGCAGACATAACATACAAATCATGGTGTTTTAGAATTATTTTTCTTTCACCTTATACTTCTATTTTCATTTTTCTGATACTGATATATAATACTTAAGTGATCAAAAATGATCTTAAAGTATACATTATTCCATTTCCATTTATACATGCATATATAGCATGTGAAAATAAGAAAAAAATACTAGAAGTCAGGACAGGCTCTCTCTGGGGTACAACAGTGCAAATGAGGCTCTGAGGTCGTAGTGCTGTCTCTCAGTTACACACAAGGTTTAGCTTATGAAAACTCACTGAGTTGTAGTTTTCTGTACATATGTTAAAAATCAATAAGAAATATTTCAGAAAATGAAAGTAGAGAATTTGCTTTCCCAACAGAATGTTTTGACAATTGATTTAGTCTTTCAAATATGACTTAAAATCTGTCATTCTTCCTCTGTAGATCAGTGTCTCATACCAAAAAGGGGGGGGACCTCATCCTTAATATATACTATAATCACACACACACACACACACACAAGCTTATTTTGAGTCATGATTTTTTGTTTATGTTTTGACAAATAAAGCTTGCCTAAAGATCAGAGTGCAGCGCTAAGCCACTAGAGGCCAGGGAGTGGTGACACACACCGTTAATCCCAGGACTCCTGAGACAGAGCCATTCTGGGCTAGAGTTCACACAAAGGTGATCCCAGCACTTGGAATCCTAACCTTTAATCCTGGCACTAGGGCAGTGGAGACAGTGGTGATATGGCTGGGCAGAGAGAGGAATATAAGGCAGGAGGAGACAGGAGCTCAGGGCAGTCTGGGGTTTGGTGGAGACAGACGAAGTTGGTGAATGAAGTTAGAAGACAGGATCACCCCTTCCGTCTGAGCATTGGTAGAGGTAAAATAACTCTCTAGTGGTTGGCTACTGTGATTCTCTCATCTCTCAGCTTCCACGCCCTAATATCTGACTCTGGGTTTTTATTAAGAACAATCAGAATTTGTGCTGCAATGATTACATTAGAAGTACTTTTAAAACAACTACTTTGGTTTGTCTAATTTTATTTTACATTTATATTTAATAAACTTTTAAAATTCACTTTCATGGCTTAGCTCAGGTAAAAAATATTTTATTTTAAAGAAAGCCTATGAGTGTAACTTTACCCAAAGGATGGCTAATTTAAACAGACATGAGTACCATTTGTACTTACCTGGTAATGAGGTTTACACCACTGCTTCAAGTCCCAGTCCCAGAGAATCATCTGTAAAAGAATATGGGTTACAAGCTGTGAACAAACACACTCGAAGTCAAGCTGCACCCTTTTCCTCTGATAATGCCTACAACAAAATTAGGCATCAGAAAGGGAGTCGGAGAGATGAGAATAAAAATAATCTCTTTATAGATTACTTCATTAATTAATATAAATTATAACTGAGCAATCCAAATAATAAAGCATTTCAGAACAAATGCACTATAGTAACATATTAACCTTCAAATATTTGTTATTGGGCTGGAAAGATGAATCTCACAGATGACCCAAGTTCAGATCCGATCACCCACATCAGGTGGCTTACAACTGCCTGTAACTCCAGTTCCAGGAGATTCAATGCCCCTTTCTGAACTCTACAGACATTGCATGCACATGGCACACATACAGACAAACACATGTATAGGAGAAAATTTAAAAATTTTTAAGTATAAAAAAATCACAGAAAAAGGAAAAACAGATCCAAAATCATGTCAAATTAAAACGTAAGAAAATTAACTCTCAGCAGATGCCCCTCTCAAAGAGTCATTTATCATCTTAAGCCGGTGTCCACTTGTGAATCTATTTCTTTACTAAAAGGCACTCCCATAGACAAAACTTCTTGACCCCTAGGTTAAATTACATTTAAAGAAATGGTTTTCAAGTATCAAAGTATACTCCTTTCATTACACAAATAAGTAGTGACTGCTTTTGTTTCTTTCCAAGACCATTGATATAACTCTCAGCCCAGCCTTGCTTTCTCTACCATTTTTGTAGGTTTTCTGGCTACCCACTGGTCTAGTACAGCAAGTCACTCATTCAACAGACAAAGTTAACTTGAATTTAGTAAGCTAGCATGGCCACGAACATCGGTATAACCTAAATTTCTATGAAGTGTTTTGAGTTAAAGTCTCATCTTTTTGCTTAACTAATTCCTTCTAATTGTCATTTTCTACAATAAGTCTAATATTGAATAGGTCTATTATATTTCTAATAAAAATCCTAAAATTTTCTGTATAATTCACTTTTTATGTTTTTATAAACCTTGAGCTTAAGTTTATTAGTTGTAAAAAAATCTTTTTTAAAGGCTTGTTTTATTGTAATGACTGACTGATGTTACATATAACTGAGGTCAGTCTATGCAGACATGTGAGGGAAGTCATGAAAGGGAAGCTTGATCATCCTCTTTAAATGGTTTTTGTGTAATTTAAAAATTGTTTTTGAATTTATAATATATTTCTCCCATATATTCCTCCTCACCTTTTTCTCATTCAAATCCATGGCCTCTTTTTCTCTGCTGTTATATGTGGTACCTATGGCAGAGATTGGTTGTAAGAATCCACTTGTTTTTGTTGTGGTGGTGGTGGTGCTCAGTTTTTTGTTTGTTGTTTTTTGTTTGTTTGTTTTTAAACATATTCCCTAAATGTTATGATATATGCAGTGGTTAATCTCAAGTTCATAGTATCTCCTGAGAAGACAGTGCAGGAGGCGATCCTTCTCATTCAAGTCACCTTCTCGGCAATTTAAGCACAAGCACCCTTTCACTGTGCCCACACACCCTTCCTCTAGCCCAGGTGTATTTTTCTGGCATCAAGCCCGAGAACAGACAGTAACAGACTGAGAGATGATCAGCCCATCTTTGATCAACTTCCAGATCTGCTAGTAGGAACTAGCAGTGGCAATTTTATTGGTCTCATTGGGGTTCAAGCAGACCTCCCTTTTTGTCTCAGTAGAAAACATAAAAGACAAGCCTCTTTTGAATGGCTGAGCATGCTCACGGCAATGGCTGGAGCAGCAAAAGGAAAGGTTGCAAAAAAACTTAATGTGTTACCTATTTGGTCACTATCCCAACATTTCACTAGTTGTTGTAAAGCTCTTTTTGTAACAGAACATAGTTCAGGCTTTGCAAGCCAAATATGATCTTTACAGCATATTCTTTCATGTTTGTTTGCTTTCTTGCTTGTTTTTCCTTTAAAAATCTCTAAAAATATAAAAAAAGCAGTTCAGAATCAGGCTGTTAAGAGGACAGTCTCAGTGGGCTATAATTTGGTGATTGCTAGTTTAGAAAAGGCACCACCTTTATCATTCAAAAAAGGGCTGTGTTTATTATTTCTATCTCTTACAACATCCTTCAGAAAGTAAAATTACTTCTTCCTAATGAAATTTATTTCTTTCTAAAGAAAATCCAAACATACTATATCCACTTAAGAGAATGAACCCAAAACATGGGTGTGATGAAACTACACAAAGTTACATTAGATAAACTTAATAGATAAAATTATTACATTTATATAGTTGCTTTTTATGGCCCTAAGTGTAGTATTGCAATAATTACTTTAGGCTGTGACTTAATGAGCATGCAATCTGGATTCTAAAGACACTAATAGTTTAAAACATTAAGACTAATAACCTAAATCCCCGAGATTCTCTTCTACTTCAGACTGGTAGGACCATTCTCTGCATGCTGTCTGTATAGGACTCACTTTGGAGATCTAGCTGGAATATTTTAACTCTGTCCTTATTTTTGTATGACAAAGTTTCTTGATGACTGAGGATATCACTAGCTTAATTACCATTCCTCTCATTACTATGATTTTTCTAAATCTGACGTTTTCTCGAGTTTACCAACAGAATCTATAAAAGAAGTGAAAATAGTCATGATGTGTAACTAAAAATATCCTAAGGGATAGGCCATAATCTACTAATTTTCATTCTGATCTATAAGCTTGAAAAACTGTACTATATCATGTGACTCTACTTCAATCGTTCTTTCACAAAGATACCATCAAATAAATGCTGATGTCTTATTTCCAAGACGCATTAGTCAAAGATAAATGGGTTTATTAACACAGCACACTTGCATTGGGATAGCTTACCACCAAATATTCTCCCACATCACTGATTCATCTGATCAATCAACATTACTCTTTCAGCTAGTTCTACACTAATGTCAAAAACCCTATCTGTAGTCATACCTAGTGTTCTTAGTGGAGGTACCACTGACCCTAAACAAATAAGACTGTGATTCTTGAGACCTTCCCCTCCAAAAGGTCTTAATGAAAAGCTATACAGCATAAATAGATACACTGTATAAAGGAGATGTGCTGTACATTTTTGGTATTAAAATATTTAGGAAAATCATCACACACACAAAAGATGTCTCAAGAGCTTCCTGGCTAGGAATAGGCAATTATAATGAAAATAGGTTGAGAGATTTTGGGATAAAGAAGTCCTTCTGCTTGCTTATAAGATCGATCCCATCTTTGCTTACATTCTGAGTTCAGACAAATGAAAAGCAGCTTACTCAAAAGCCACTGTAATCCTAGAAGTTGATTAAACCTTACAGTGTGTGTGTGTGTGTGTGTGTGTGTGTGTGTGTGTGTGTGTGTGTTTCCTCTCTGCTCACTACTTTTAGATCCTCTCTACTGTAGCATTTTCTACTGCAGGTCATTTCCCTTAACAAATTCACTCCACATGGACTGTAATCCCTCTACTTGCTAAAAGTTGGCTTCAAATCAAATTCTTATAGCATCAGTATGTCATTATTTTCAGCTACTTTCTATAGGATCAAAATGATCAAAAAGCAGCAGTTCTTAAGATGAAATTCTCACTTATTTCAAAATAAAAACAAATATAGGAAAAGCCACAGGAAGCTAGTAGAATATCTTTCTGTGTAATTCTAATAATGACAATATTAAGAGATTTTTTTTGAAATGAAGTTTTCTATATAATTATAACAAAGGAATGATGTACCACAAGTCCACATTTAGATCTGTATTTTAGAGCAAATTATGGTCCATAAAAGGATAAATCCAGAAATTAACATCTTCAGCTACATAATGAGTTCTAGTCAAATCTGGTATATATGAGACACTGTCCTAAAAAGTTGGAAAGAGGGAGAGGCTGGTGCTGGATATATAGCTCAGTTGGTACAATGCTTGCCTAGCATACATAAAGTTCTCGGCAACACATACGCCAATTCAGCATGGTGGTGCACATTTTAAATCCCAGAAGTTGAAGATAGTGGGAGGATGATAAAAATTTTAAGGTCATCCTCAGTTACACACATACAATTAGAAGATTTGTTCTAGCTAAGCTCTAGGGAAGCATGGCTCGGTCACACTTAACATGTCAAAGGAACACACATAAACCAACCTGGAGATCCTGTCTACCCAATTAATCAGAAAGTAGCTCTTCTGTGATCACACTCATCATCTGGCAACACCATGAAGTAGTCAGGATACTCAGCCCACCTCCTGAAACAGTAACTGGGTGACACTTTCCATTAACCTAAGGGGTCCACACACTGCTAGGCAGCCTTTCTACCAAATGGATCAGCTTGCCAGTTCCCCCCGGGAGCTGCCAGGATGCCATCTTACAGCCTCAAGTAACAGCTGGTGGCTCCTGCCCACCCTCACATAACCTCAGGAAGCATGCATGTAGCCCTGCCAAGACTAAGAAGTGGTTGGGTGGCTTTACCCATTTACCTTTCATCTCAGGAAAAAGCTAAAAGCCTACACTGAACAACTTGGATCCTGAGCCTTTTGAATGAACACAATAAACTTCAACTTAATAAGTAAGTACTTATCTTATTGCTTGTGGCCCTTGGGTACTCACAGCATTCCACCCACACTGCCATGTATACTGTGACATGCCTTTCCAACACCACTAGAGTTGCTCTACAGACAAAAGACCCACAAATCTGACAGGCACCTCAAAGTAGCAGCAATATGCCACACATACAGCCATTGGCAAAAACCACTCTGCCTAACAAAGTTTCATCACAACTAATGGAGTAATCCCACAAACCCCTACAACTGAGAGCAAAGAAATACATAGCCATGACCACCATTAACCATTGCTGGTTATGATACACAATTACTACATTAATTCAATCATTCTTTAGCCAATGCCCACATATCCTATTCAACCAACACTCTAGAAGCATATACATAAGAAAATTTTCTACAAAAGCCACCTTATTAAATTAGTAAAATCAACCAATCCTCCAGGCAAATATCAAAGTATGAACAGAAGAAACATTTAAAAACTTAAATTAACATCATAAAAGTACTCTGGCAACAGATAGGAGAAAAAGGGAAACTGCCAGACTACATGAATAATTAAAATGAATAATTCTAAGATAATTTAGTGAGACAAAAGAAATTACAGACAAATCAACAAAATAACAAAAGCAATTCATGATCTGAAAGAATTCATTAAAAATACAGAGATCATTTTTAAAAAAAACAAATTTTGGAGATAAAGAACTCAATGAATAACAAATATAGCCGAGAGCTTTAAAGACAGGCTAGACTAAGCAGTAGACGGAAGAAAGGGAAGAAGAGAAAGAAGTAGGGAAGGATTTGTAATAGCCAGAACCTGGAAACAACCTAGGTGCCCCTCAATAGAAGAATGGTTTAAAAAGGTGTGGAACATATATACATTAGTTTTACACAGCGGTAAAAAACAATGACATCTTGAATTTTGCATGCAAATGGATGGACATAGAAAACGCTTTACTGAGTGAGGTAACCCAGACCCAAAAAGAGGAATATGGTATGTATTCACTCATATGTGGATTCTAGCCATAATTAAAGGTCTTTGAGCCTTTTATTCGTGATCCTAGAGAAGCTAAATAAGAAGGTGAACCTGAAGAAAATCATGTAGTTATCCTCCTGGAGATTGGAAATAGACAAGAGTGCCAGGCAACCTCGGGTGCATGGGGGGGGGGGGGT